TGAATTATCACTTGAACAATGAGTGAATTATCTTTTAAACCCCCATTTCCTTTTCCTTTCTTACTATTCAAAATTGCTACGAAATTTACTAAAGCTGAAAATGCGTTCAAATTTGCGCAAAATTTCATTTAACTATCCAATTGTTTTTTTCGATTAATTTTGTGCGAATGTAAAATTTGGTTTTAACAATTTTACAAAATTAAAATGCGAAAGTATTCATCCATAGATTTCGTCTCTTTAATTTTGTTATTTCATTTTTAGACGCTTTTGGAGTATTAAATTCATTCAATTGAAAAAATGACAGAGTCTAAAAGTTGTATTGTACAGTATCCTTGTTACAAATTTCCCTTTTGCTGAATGTATCACATTGAAGTATCACTAAAGAATTACAGTATAGCATTATTCATTGATCAAATCAAATGCATTACAAAGTATAAAAACCCAAAATGTTAGATCAAGAAATGTAAGGAATGATAATTAACCTATATAGATGTAAAAATTTCCGTACTTTCGTCAAAAACTGATATGTATGGAATAAATATTTGCAACAATCGCTTTTGGTATAATAAAAGTAGGAAGGGTTACGGTAGAATACAAAAAAAAATTACAGTAGTCAGAGTGGTTCATCATAATTGATTAACAAAATGATTGTTGAAAATTTCAAATGGTTAAGTTAAAGGTGATGGGGGGAAAAAAAAATTAAAGAAAGATCGTTGCATATCGAGATGAGATAATATTCAAAGTTACATTTAGGCGTTAAATTGAAAAATCAATACATGTTACTGTCAAATTTTTGTGACAACAGATAGCAATCAAAAATTAACAAAATAATTAAGAGAGTTTTAATTGCAAGATGGAGAAAAAACCTGAAAGGTTAATGAATTTAAAAAGGTAAACAAGAATGTGAAATGACTTTAGTGACATACAATCATTTATGATTTCATCTTGACTTCCTGAATATTTCAAATTGAATAAATAATAATTTCTGATTCAACTAAGAAAGGAAAAAAAAACTTTGAAAAATTTACGAATTTTTGAAACTTCTAGCTTTTTCAATTACAATTGTTAAATAAAAATAACTAAAAGTTTTTCGTTTTCACTATTTGTCTGAATAGGACTTATTTTTAATTTGCAATTTATATTATTCATTTCACATTTGCATTTAATTTTTAATTTTAATTGCAACATTCTTCTGCTGCTTAAGCAAATTACAGAAAAAAAGAAATATTCCGATTTATAATTGCAGAGAATAAAATTTTGTTATGAAATTTGATTTACTTAACATTGCTTATTCAAAAATGGATGAAAACTTAGGAGAAAATGAAAAATACTTACTTACTCCTGGCTAATCTAGAATAATAATTACTCTAATTATGCATCAGAAATTCAGAACAAGAAATGAAAGTTAGTTATCTTGACGTTATGAGAATGAAATTTCTACGTGTACTTTCACGTTGACATTCTTTCTTGTAATTTTTTCATCGAATATATAAATTCAAAATTACTTCTTTAATATTTGATGCTTTCATTCCTATAGCTAGCTATTTCATTTCCAAGAATTCTACCTTTAACGATAAACTTAGCATAAATAATTAATTTATTAATTCATTATACATTACTTAATAAAAATGGAAATCAAAATTTGTCATCATTTTTTTAACTTTTTAGCAAAAAAAAAGAAGAAAAAGCTATGATCTTCTATTATTTTTGCAATACATAAATGTCCTAAAGTAAATTATAATTTCACTACGATGCAAAATTTTTTCAAAAAAAAAAACCTTACAGAAAGTTTTCTTTTTTTTCGAATGATTTATAATCTCTGACAGAAATATAAATTGTCTCGTCCGTTTAGAATTTAACCAATCAATCAATCATTTTAAAAAAAAAAAAATATTATTTCAAATTGTCTAGTGCACTGTTTTGTTTTAGGCGTAATGCCACTTACATTTTGCTAATTACGTCATTTTACTTTTTTTTTTTAAATATTATATTGATTTTAATTTTTCCACACAAAAAAATATTTCAAACGATTCAAAGAGGAAAAAATATTTTGAAATTTATTAGAAACTTTAAAAGAAAAAAAAAGTTTTGCCGAGTATAACACAGCTGTTCAATATGCTTAACAAATCAAATTTGAATTATTTGGCATTTTAAGCAATTATCTGATATATTCTCGTGATAAATCATTGAAAAACAACAGCTAAACAGTATCAGAATTAGATGAAAAATAAATTCTATTCATTCTTTTATCTCTTATCTACTTATGATCGATCAATCATTGCTATTATCATTCATTTAATCATATCATATCATATCTTATCAATCTAATCATGGTAACTAACTTTAAAAATCTTATAATATTAGGAAAATAATTCGCTCAAATTGATTTAAGTTTTTAATTTAAAGTAGATTTTTTTTTCGTCATCATTTACAATAAATGTAACTCGCCTCTGAGTTTGAATTGTTAAATTAGAATTGTTGAGGAAACTCGTTTTTCACGTTCCGTCATACACACACACACACACACACACACGCACACACACACACGCATATACACACATATATACACATACACACATACATAGACATATATTAACATTTGGACCAGAAAGAAAAGCTTCAAATCACATTTTTTTTTTTTATCTTACCAAGCATTTGTTAAAGTTTAAACAATTTACTTTCTGAATAAAAAAAAAAAATTAGATTTTTGCTTTAAAATAAAGTATACCTGATTGATTGGATAGTAGAAGATTGAAAGTTTTTTTTTTTTTAAATCATTTTTATTACTTTGATTTTTATCATTTGCTACATGTTAGATCAGTGCTATATAGTACAATCATTGATAATTTCAATTATCAATGATACAATTGTCACCCACTTTTACTTCATTTTCTAATGTATCGGTGATAATACATTGCACAAAAGTACAAATAATTTACATAAGAAATTAGAGTAATTAAATTATCAGTAAAAAAAAAAAGATAGATTGATTCGGAATAAGAATAACTATGTCAAGTGACTCAATAATCATGATATCATTATTATCATGATAATGACTGAGATACAAATCCTAACGATAAATGATAATGAAGAGGAATGATAATCAAGATACAAATGTATATGCGAACTAATTAAGTACTCAATTTCGAGTAATAAATGGCTTGAAATTATAATTTTCTTGAGATTTTCTTGCTTTTATCATTGATAATACTTTTACACATTCAACATTGTATTCATTTTTTTTTTTGGAAGTAATTATTTTTAATGATTTAGGAAAATCAGAAATGTTTTTTGGAGTAGAATAAGAGATTTGAAATGATATGATTTCTGAGATTATTTTAGTATTTATATTATATATGATTTAATCGATATTTATTACATTTCAATTTCATCAACAAAGTTTTTTTCTTAATAACATTTGATATCTTATCAAAAATAAAATATTGTTATATTATTGAACGACATTTTATAGTAATTTCATATCAAAAATTAATAATCGAAAAAAGAAAATTGTTGTTGCAAACGTTTTGTTGGCTTTTTTTTATTTAACATGTATCATCCTAAATTGTCCTTTTCTGTTGACTTACTTACCTTTTGATAACAAAAAGGTAAATGTTTGATAACAAATGTTTTCAAGCAAAAGGTTAAGCATTTACTGTGTTATCATAAAAGCAATCTTGTCATTGGTAAAATGTTCAGGAATGCATTCAAAGTAAGATAATTAATTCCTGATCAGCCAATTTTAATTTTAATCTTTTCTTTTTCTCGGTAAGCATGAGAACTCTAGCTTAGCTTGAATAGCGGGAAATGTTTTAGTTATAGTCCCAGCAATGAAATATTTGTCATCAATTAAATAAAATTAATTGATTATTTTAATTTTCAACCAGAAAAAGTAAATGGTCATTAGGCAAAAATTGATTTTCCATTGGCAGTCTTCTGATTAACAGTTATTTTACACTTTTCTCTTCAAAAAGGATTGTTTCATTCTCAACATTTCATTCGAAAAAGAAAAAAAAACTGATTGATTATTTTGTAATGCCATGAAAAACAAATGATATTCGTTAACATTCCTCAAGCGTCTCTTTAAATTTCCATAATTAAAAATGCTATATTTCATTTTATGCTTTTCGAGTAGCGTTTTTTTTTTAAAATTTTAGTATAGAATAAAATTGAAGTATGATCAGAGTTATTTTCGAATAAGACACAGTTTAGTTCATCGTATTATGTTATTGTCAAATCTAAATTGTTAGTGGACACGATTATATGGCGGTGTTATCTGAAATTTTGAAATTACTTTTACAATTTTCTTATTTCATAATTTTATATTTTTTTTCCCTCCATTTATTCTATCAGTGTATATGTCATTGTTCTGAAATTTACACTTATCAAAAATATATAAATGATAAATTTTATTAATTTAAATCCAAATTCATGCCATTAATTGACTAAATTTTGGATTGTTTTAAAGCAAAAAGTTTTTATGTATTAAACAACAAATAAAACATTCTAAATTTAAATATTTTTCGACATAACGTCAAAAATTTTTTCAAGTATTGCGAAAAATTTTTAATTTATCAAATTTAAACTGAAATTTTTATTGAAATAACTTTCAGTTATTTTTTAAACAAAGAAGTAAAGTTATTTATGATAAGAGAAAAAAGCATTCGTTCGTTCAATTCAATCCTTTCAAAAAATGATTTTAATTCAATCAAAATTGCTTAAAAATATAAAATTTAAATATGCAAATGTATTTTTTAATTTCTAATTTATTCGTTTATTCTTGCAATAAATTCTTTAAAAAGAAAAAAAAGTTCAATAAAATGTAAAAATTTTTTCACAAATACATTCTTTCATTTATTAGCATTAATTTATGCGTCATTTTATAGCATCAATCATTTTTGCGCATTATTTTTGTCATCATCCGTTATGACACTATAAAAAATTTCATTCTAATCATTAATATATATATTTTACAAATATTTTTAGGTTCTAAATGATCCATGGACAACGTTCCTCCAGTCATCGACTCCACGTTTCCACCATCAGGTATTTTGATCAAAAATTATTGTCACCAATTATTTTAATCAAAAATTATTATCATCAATTATTTTGATCAAAAAATTATTTTCATTAATTATTTTAATTTCATTAATCTTTAATTTCATCAATTTGAAATATTTCATATGAATTTATCTGATTTATGTAATCATTAAGGAACATTACATTACTTAAATGTCCAATAGCATAATTACGTAAATATTATCTTTTAAAAAATATGATTCTATGTGTTTGCAATGTTTTACATATTTGTATGTTTATTTATTTATAATATAAAAATAAAATAATTATGAAATTAATGTACCAAATTTTTGATTCCATAAAATATTATTGTTATAATTAATGATAATACAATTGATATTAACTGATACGATTAATGAGAACAATTTTTTTTTTTTTTTTAGGATGGGCTCGTATTGAATTAGAACCGGTGGATATTCCACTGGAACAGGATGATTCCATACTTTTATCAGCCATACAGTCTGTTATACCTGGAGCACATGGACTTTACTATAAGGATGAAGATTGCAAGAAGGCCTTAAAGTCTTGTCCTTTTATTTTACTTTTCTCTTTTCTTTTTTTTCTCTCTCCCTCTCCTTCTCTCTTTTTTTTTCTCTCTCTTCCTTTCCTTTCTTGTTAAACTCTCAAAAAGAAGAAAAAAGATTTTTGAATAAAAATTTCCTTTCAAACGTTAATACTACTTTAATCTTAAGTAACAATTCATAAGTTAAAAAAAGTAGATTTTTTCAATTTAAAATTAAAAAAGTATTTTTTGCTAAAATTTAAATTTTAGATATAATGGCACAACTGGCTGTATATTAAAAGGTCCACCAGGATGGAATTCTAAGCCTATTTATGTCACACTTGGTTTGCCTTATTTTCGCATTTTTAAATAATTTTTACAAATTAACATAAAATCTTACAAATTTTTTATTATCAAAACAAAACTAACATTGATAAAATTAAGTATGAACTATTATTTTGAAATTAATTTTAAAATTAAATGTATATAACAAACTAATGAGTGTAATTTTAAAATTAAGCTGCTTATTCTTCTCTTCTTGTTACCTTTTATTGTAATCATTACTTATCCTTTGGTAAGTAACAAATATTTATGTTGGATTCTGATAACAATAAGAAAGTTAAACAAAGAAAGAATTTTGTTTTGCTAATTGTTAAATTTAATTTTAAATTAAATAGAATTCGAACTAATCTTTAAATTAATTCATATTGAATTGAATATTCCTCTAATTTCACTCCTTTGTTTTTCTCGTCACTCTTATTATTTCTGGCTATTTACTTGTTTACAATTTCTGTCAGTTATTTGCTATCTGTTAGGCAAATACCTTAATAAGTTGAAGCCTTAGATAGGTAAAGCCTCATGCTATTTGCTATTATGAAACTAGTCCATTCTGATGGTCTATGCTGTTCAGTTCTGGCAATCTGTGATCAATTTCGATAGTCTATACTGGTCACTTCTAAGTAGCCTATGTCGGTCAACTCTGAAACTATCAGAAATTAGCATTAAAAAGTTTAGGAAAAAAATGCTTTTAATTGAAAATTTGTTGTAATTTTGTTTTACAAACCATAAAAGTATGGCTTATATCTTCCAAAAGATGACAAATATGTTTGGAATGATTCCCAAAATGAATTACTATTAATTATTAAATGAATTTAATAGGTGACATCATTTGTCATTTATTTCATTTGAATGTGTTGAAATGGACTATACAATGACAAAATTTTTAAAAAAAAAAAAAA